AAGAAGTGGCATGTCTTCAGGGTTTGCATGGCTACCACAAACTCATGCCCCCTGCCTCCCAGCCCTGACTGGAGCTGGAAAGACGGCCTCTCCCTGGGTTCTTACGCATCCTTGGACAATCCTAGGTTTTAGTCTTTTCTCCCAAAAAAATGAACACGAGAGACCCCAAACAAAACAAACCAACCAACAAAATATTGCTGTCCTGTTGATCCTGACTCAGGAGTGTTGAGGACAGAAGAACGGTGTGCGGTAGCCACGCTGGGAATCTTCACAGGTTGACTGTTAGGTGTTTCTCTTACAGAGCAGTCAGTGAGTTTGAACTACTGACCTTTTGATTAGCACTTGAGCACCAAACCACAGCTCCCCCAGGCTTCCTTGGGAACCAGGAGACTCATACCCATGTTAACGTGGCCAGAATAACTGATGGGCTTCATGGACACCAAGGGTCCCACTTCACCACTGTGAGAGCTGTAGGTCTGGGCTGGGGACTGACATCCGCATGTTTGGCTGGATTGAAGCTCAACATCAAGAAAACAAAGCTTCTCACCCGTGGGCCAATTGGCAGCATCAGTATGGATGATGAAGAGATTGAGATAGTTAACGGTTTTAGTTTACTTGGCTCCACAATCAACACTCTTGGTAACAGCAGCCAGGAAATCAGGAGATGAATTGCATTGGGAAAGTCAGCTGTGAGGGACCTCTCAAGAGTACTGAAGTGTAACGACATCACACTGGAGACTAAGGTGTGCCTGATCCAGGCTATTGTTGTTGTTGTTGTTATGTGCCGTCGAGTCGTTTGCAACTCATAGCGACCCTATGTACAACAGCCCTAAACCCTGCTCTATCCTGTGCCAATCTCATTGCCTCTGACACACCCATCCCGATTACCCCAGTCACTGAATCAATCCACCTCATAGAGGGTCTTCCCCTCCCGCGCTGTACCTCTACTCTACCCAGCATGATGTCCCTCTCCAAAGACCTGTCTCTCCTTACAACATGTCCAAAGTATGTCAGACGAAGCCCCAGAATCCTTGCCTCTAAGGAGCAGCCTGGTTTAACCCTCTCTAGGATGAATCTATTTGTTTTCTTGGCAGTCCATGGTACATTCAATACTCTTCTCCAGCACCACAGCTCAAAGGCGTCAATTCTCCTTCTATCCTCCCTAGTCATTGTCCAACTCTCGGATGCATAGTCTTCGCAATTAGGTGCTATGCATCCGAGAGTTGGACAGTGAATAGGGTTGATAGAAAAAGAGTTGATGCCTTTGAGCTGTGGTGCTGGAGAAGAGTTTGACTATGCCATGGACTGCTAGGAGAACAAACAGGTTTGTCCTGTAGAGGCTGAAGCCAGAATGCTCCTTGGAGTCAAGGATTCTGAAGCTTCGTCTGACATACTTTGGGCATGTTGCAAGGAGGGACTGATCCTTGGAGAGGGACGTCATGTTTGGGAGAGTGGAAGGGAGGCGCAGGAGAGGAAGACCCTCAATGAGATGGATCGATTCTGTGAGTGGAGTGGTGGGAATGAGTGTGTTTGAGACAGTGAGGTTGGCACAGAATAGAACTGGCATTTAGGGCTCTTGTACATAGGGTCGCTATGAGTCGCAAACGACTCGATGACACATAACAACAACAAGGTCTCTGCTGGAGGTGGTGCAGGATGCCACTCAGTGAGACCAAGCCGCTGTCTGAGGCCCCTTTGGGCCTGGGTGCCAGGTGGTCCAGGGCGACCTGGCGTGTGTCTCCTACACTCTGCTGGAACTATTTGCTGCTGTTCTGTACTGACCTGGTGTGTCCTCTGTGTTCCTGGCTTCAGATCACACAGCCCAGTGAGGGAGCTCGGGAACACACCCTGGAGAAGCTGAGCCCTGACCCAGTGGTGGCCGTGGGCCAGCCCAAGTCTGCCGGGAGAGGCTTATGGGGAGGAGGTGCTTCTGGAAGAGGGTGGGCAGCAGTGACCCCACTAAGGCTGCGGGCCAGCCCAGATCCGTGGGGAGTGGGTTGGGAGGAAAAGGGTCCTCTTCTGCAGAGACTCTGTGGCTCTGGATGCACCTGTCTGTGCAGGTCTGGGTTTGGTAATCAGGTCCAGGCCTCCTGGGCCTCTGGCCGCAGCCCGCAGCCCCTTTCCCTTCAACATCCCCATTCCACCTTGACCTGCAGCCTCAGGACCCAGAGGGCTTGTCCCCAGTGACATCCTGGCAAGGCCACCTCTGTGTGCACAGTAAGAGAAGACAAGCCTCACACAGGAGGCCAGTGAGTTCCAGCTGCTCTGGGCAAGGCCTTCCCACTGCACAGGCTCAGAGCATGGCTCCCCATTCCCAGGGAAACAGAGACCCCAGTGGAGAGGCCTCCTCCAGGCACCTAGATTCTGCTCAGTGGGATCCCTGAAATCACAGAATCAAAGGAACCAGCAAGGTGATAGTCCAACCCTAGGCTTGAGGGGTCAGTTTGTCGCTTTGATAGAGCACTCTGCAAAGACATCCAGGCATGAATTCTTGGAACATGAGAATAAGTTAGGTTATGCGTACAAAAGGACCTTAAAGATACATTTAAGATTTTAGGCCTTCAGATAGGGTGACTGTCCTGAGTGGGCCCAATCCAACCACATCAGTCCTTGAAAAAACGACACTTCCCACTCACCTCAATCTTTGCTGTTGTTAGGTCTATTGAGTCAAGTTCAACTCGTGGCGACACCATGAACAACAACAGATCTGAACCCTGTCCTATCTCGTGCCATTTTCATGTTCTCTGACACTCTTGAGGCCATTGCTGCAGTCACCCTGTCAGTCCATCTTGTTGGGGTTCTCCCTCTTTCACTGGCCTTCCACCTTTCTGAGCACGTTGGTCCTCTCCGGAGACTAGTCTCTCCTAACAACACTCCCAACGTTTGTGAGGTGACGTCTTGTCTTCTTTTCCTCTAATTGGCATCCTCAGTCCTAGGCTTCTCAAACTCATCGTCAAGTCAGAACTGGCCCTTAGTCACCTCAGCATTGGACTTCCCAGGACAGAAAATCGCACCGGAGGAGACTGCTCCTCTTTGGCCCCCAGAGCCAGTGACGTGGGAGAGGCAACACACAGCTATTGTTGTGAGGTGACATCAAAGCCAGTCTCAAGGGGAAATGAGCTATGGGGTCTGATGCATGGTACAGCGGGGACAAGCTTTGGGAACATCTTGCTGAGAGAATATCAGGCCCAAAAGGACAGATACTGTTATGACCTCTTATGTGAAATAAAAAAAAAAAAATTAGTGGTTATAATGAATAGAAGAGGGAATGAAGAGGCTTTTGCGTCGGGTCTGTAGAGCGTATGTTACCAGTGCTGGAAGAACTTGGAAAAGGATCTAAAATAGTGGGGCCCACACCATGGAGAATATAGTCCATGTAACTAAGCTACACAGGCAGAGATGCTCAACTGTCGAATGCTTTGCTGCGTGTATCTTTGCCACAATTAAAACCCCCATCACATGTGGGGGAAGCAGAGACCTAGAAATGAAAGCTGGAGGAAGTCAGAGTGGATGCCGTGAGAGGACCTTGCTGTCTCTGCAATGGGAGGTCCACATGGGAGGCCACAGAGAGGCCTTAGCATGCTCTTGGATGGTATGGGAAGGAGGTCACCGCTTCTTGGCCTCTCACTGACCACCAGCAAGGGAAGGGGCAGGTCCAGCCACAAGGCACAGAATGCAGCCACGGCTCCTCCAGAGCCGTTGGTAAGCGTGGCTGGGGCTGGTCTGACTCACAGCTGATCTTTGTAAAACCGAAAGAAAACACTGTCTGACTCTGAGCCACCCTCACAATCTCTGCTGCGCTTAGTCACTGTGCCAGTACGTCTACTTGAGGGTCTTCTTTTCCTTCCTTGACCCCTTTGCCAAGCAGGATACCCTTCTCCAGGGACCAGTCCTTCCCGGTAGCATGTCCAGGGTATGTGTAACCAAGTCTCTACAGAGCAGTCTGGCTGCACTTCCAAGACAGATTTGTTTGTTCTCTTGACAGTCCCTGATACATTCAATATTCTTGGCCAACACTACAACTAAAAGACACCGATTCTTCTTTGATCTTGCATATTCATCATCCAGCTTTCACATGCATGAGAAGCAGTCGGAAATACCGGCTTAGGCCAGATGCCACCGAGTTTGAAGTGACATTTTTGCTCTTTAGCATTTTAAGGAGGACCTTGGCAGTGGACTTGCCCATTGGACTACATCATTTGATTTTTTTTGTCTGCTGCTGTCATGGGTGTTGGTTGTGGAGTCAAGTGAAATGAAATCCTTGTTAACTCCAATCTTTTTCCTCTATCACAATGCTGCTTATTGGTCCAGTGTATGATTTTAAACTAGTGTGATTCGGTCTGGACTTCTAACCGACAGAACACTGGTATATCAGCAGACGGTTTTAAGCATTCAGTTGGTAGCAATTTTTCATAGCAGCTACGTAAGGCAGACATACTGCTTTTTCCAATGTCCTCCATCAGGCCCAAGAAGTCACAGGGACCGGACTGGCTGGTCAAGGGTGGGAGGTATTTTCTCCAAAGGCGGAGAGCTCCTGCCAGACTCTGGAGGCGCCACTGTACAGGGATCTGCTCTGTGGGTGACTTAAACGTCCCTTTCTGTTTCCTGCATGCTGGTCCTCAGATAACACTGTCCCGTGTGGTGTTCAGGTGGAAACAAGGGTCCTCTAGGGTGACTGGATCCACTACCCCGGGGCCTTGACAATCTGGATCCTGGAGGCTGAGCCAACTGATGGCCAGAAAGGGAAGCACACCTAGTTCAGAGTCTGTTAGGGCCAGCCGGGCAGGCGGCTAGCTCTGTTTCCAGCTGGACCTTGGGTGAATCTCTTACCCCTTTTAGATCTACTTCACCTGTAAAAGCCACAGATTGGGGCAAAGGGCCGCCAAATGTCCGTGTACTTTTAAATCTTGGGAAGCAGGCAGGCAAGGCAGCATGCAGACCTGGCTGGGGAATTGGAGACTGTCAGGGCTGGACGCACAAGCCCCAGCACCTGCCCCCAGGGCCCGCCTCGGCGCCCGGGCCGCGGAGGGAGGAGGGCAGGAGGGCGGGGCCGGCCTCTGGAGCCCGCCCCACTCCCAGGCGCGCCCCAGCCCTCCAGGCCCCGCAGTGGGCCGCTCACACCCAGATCTGCGCCCCTGGGGCCGCAGTCTGCGCTGCCGGCTCCCACGACCCTGCCCCGGCCACAGTGCGAAGCAGGCATGGCCCACTGGGGCACCGCCGCCTCGGTGCGGGTATTCGTGCTCCTGCTGGTAGTCCTGGCCCAGGCTGGGACGCAGACGTCTGTGCCAGAGTACCCTGACTACAACGTGCAGGAGAGCTGGAGCCCGGAGCCCTACTATGCACGTCCTGAGCCCGATTCCTCCCCAGCGCCACCCTCGGGGACCAGGCAGGAGGAGCACCAACCGCTAGCGCCCAGGCCGCCCAAGAAGGCGACCAAGTTTAAGAAGGGACCTAAGAAGGAGAAGTTGGCTCTGGAGACGCCACTGCCACCAGGTAAGTAACTTCTGCGCTGCGTGTGAAGGCAGGCGGGGCGCAGCTCCTGGGACAGCTAACTCTGCCCCTGTGCTTTCTACTGGGAGTGGATGAGAGAGTCTGCGACCACCTCACCCCCCTCACCACAGCCCCACCTCCCTGGAGACAACATTTGCGCAAACTCTGGTTCTCCCAGCGCCCAGAACTTGAATGTGATTCTCATGGGCGCCTCGATTGCGCCCAGGTGCCTGCGGAAATGCGCACTCGGGAAGCTGCCTGGAGAGCTGAGCAGCATTCCTGTGACCAAGTTTCCAATTTACTGGGCACAAGACTCTCCCTCTCTGCCAGTTTTCACTGAGCATTTCCTTGCGGGCGAGTTTCCCCTTGAGGACGGAAACAGTTGGCAGAGCGGGCTTTTGAGGAAAACTCTCCAGGTAGACGTGGACCCGCGCAGTTCCCTGCCTCTGCTCTGCGTGGATTCCTCTAACTGCCCTCTTCCTGCCCCAAAGCCCAGAGCCTCTCTGCAAATGAGGGTGTCCTGTCTTTGGTTCTTCTGCCCATATTCACCCCCACTTTAGCCTGGTTTGTACCAGCACCGTGTGGGGGACATGACTTCGTCCCAGTTTGCCACACACTTGAGGTAGTGCGACTCTCACTTGCTTCACACTCTCTCTGCTCAAGTTGTACAAGGGCTGCATCGGAGTAGTTCAAGGTTAGGGAGCAAGCAGGCTGGTGGCCAGGTGCTCCCGCCTGGCCTGAAAGCAGATCCTGCCCCTTGCTGCATTCCTGGCCTGGGAGGAATAGCCTTTGTTTGGTGAAAACTAGCCTGAAAGTCCCCTTGGGGCTCAGTTGGAAAGGAGGTGGACCCCTGAGTGGAGTCCACGGCAGCCAGTTAGAACAAGCCCTGGAATGTGCTTCTGCTTCAATTTGTGGGCCACTGTGATGATGCTGAAAGGAGCCCTGGTGGCACTGTGTGTTAAGAGTTTGGGGTGTTTATTAAAGCCTTGGTGTTCCAAACTCTCAGCTCTGCAGGAGACAGAGGTGACAATCAGCTTCCATGAAGATGGCAGCCAGGAAGCCCTGGTGCCCTTCTGCTCTACTGATCCCGGTGGGTCCATGAACTAGATAGAGGCAGTGATTAGGGATTTGATTCTGGCAATTCTGTGGCCTAGCGGTTGGGAGCTGGGCTGCCAACTCAAAAGCACATGGTTCAAATCTACAGCTGCTCTGAGGGAGAAAGACAGGCAGTCTCCTCTCCTGTGCTTTACAGCCTCTGAAAACGTGCTGGATGGTCAGTTCCACTGGACACAGCAGCATCATGGAGGCTCTGAACAAAGTGTCAGAAGCTGAAAATGTTCCCTTTGTATGTTTTGGGGGGGGTGAGTTTTGGGAATGGACAGTCGCCGGGTTGTACTGGACTGTTAATAACAGCTGCAGTAGGAAGAGACTGCATCCCTGGGGTTTTATTAGAAGTTTTAGTGAAACTCTTTGCTCTGATACTCTAGAGGTCTCCGAGGGCGGAAGGTTGTTCCTTTAAAGACTGCAGCCCAGGACTCCCACAATCTCCGTTAGAGTGGTGGTCAGTAGGTAAGTTTGAGAGGCCAGGACTCCGACAGTCTCACTGTTAGAGTGGTGGTCAGTAGGTAGGTTTGAGAGGCCAGGACTCCAGCAGTCTCCCTGTTAGAGTGGTGGTCAGTAGGTAGGTTTGTGCTTTTTGAAGGAGCCCTGGTGGCACAGTGTGTTAAGCGTTTGACGTCTAACAGATAAGTGCATGTTTCAAACCCACCAACTGCCCCTCGGGAGAAAAAGATTAAGCAGTCTGCCTCTGGAAGCCTTTGCAGCCTCTGAAGGCCATGGAGGGTAGATGTGAGTCAGAAGGGACTGGGCAGCAGAGGGATGTTTTGCTTTAGATCTCAGCTTTTAAATTCAAGGCCTTTTTTTTTTAAGGCCTTTTTCTGTTGGATCATTTGAAGTGTAGCAGCTTCTTTTGCCTTTGTTTCTGTCTGCTGGGTGTTTAACACAGACGGAGGATCTGGGGGGCATGGACTTGGAGTTGTGGTGTTCACAGAGGGTGGCAGTAGGCAGCAGGCTGGGTCCTGGGTTGTTCAAGTGCTTTGAGCTTGGCTACTAAGGGTTGATGGTTGAAAGGCTGGTTTGTGCTGCAGAGGAAATGCCTGGTACTCTTCTTCTGAAAGGTCACAGATGAGTAAGCCCTATGGAGCAGTTCTGCCCAGTGGCGCCTGGATCACCTGGCATTATTATTGACATAATGACCATGGGCTGCTTTATCTTCTTTTTGCTTAGGAGTCTAACCCTGAGCTCAGTGTTCTTTGCTGTGGGAATGGGGCTTCTGGACAGCAGTACGTTTCTCTGCAAACAGGAAGCCCAGTGCTGCAGCCTGTCTCACTTTCGACAATTGTACTTTTTAACAGCAGTGCCCTTGTGTTCACCATGACCTACTCATTCACCTGGAGGTTGGCCCTGAGAGCTCACCCCACCCAGGCTGGGTGCTGTGTGAGGCCTCTGTGCAGAGTGAGCCCCTGCCCCTTCCTCCACCTTGTGGAATGGCAGAGGCTGGGCACCTCGAGGGTGAAATAGCAGGTGTGGCGGGTGCTACGCAGAGGATGGATGGGCAGAAATGGATAAAGGGGGCTTGGAAATGCTCCCCAAGGAAAATGAAGATCTGACAAAGAGGACTTGTCTTTAGCAACTCTAGGGGGCTGGAGGGCTTCTCCCAGGGGCTTTGACAAGTGACCCACCGTACTTGTCATTGACAGGTCGCCAGTTTATCCTGCCTCACAAACATAGCAGCTCAGTACCTACCAGCCTGCCCTGCAGTCCCCAGCACAGTGGAGGGTGATGCTCTGAGCGGGAGGCTCCTGGAGGGTCCTAAGGGCATCCCTCAGAGCCACATCACCATCAGAAACTGAGAGGGAGAGCCAGAATCTGCTGTCAGGCCAATGGTGCTCAGCGCGTTCTAGAATCCATCTCGCAGGTCAGATAGAATGCACCTGGGCTAGGGAGTGAGCTTGGGGGTCCCTCATTTTCAGTCTCAGGGCGAAGAATAAATACATCCCATCTGGGCCATTTGAGTAGATTTCCAGTGTCCTTAATTTATGTGATCTCTGAGTTCATGACCTTGATTTGTGACTATACTCTTTTTTTGATAAAATGGACAGGAGGACTAGATTGGAGTTGTATTACCCAGTTCCCCTTTATTTCCCTCTTGACTGTAAAAAAGGAGGCCTGGTGTTGCAGCGGTTAAGTACTCTGCCGCTATCCAAAAGGTCAGTGGTTCTAGCCCACCATCCACTCTTTGAGAGAAAGAGTTGACAATCAGGGTTCAGCTTCTATAATGATTACAGCCTTGGAAGTCCTCCAGGGTGGGTAGTTCTGCTGTGTCCCACATGGCCCCTATGAGTCACAGAGGACTCAACAGCGGTCGACTTGGTTGGGGTTTTTGACAGGAAGAAACAAACAGAATAATGAACAAGACTCCTAGCAGGACACTGAAGATTCTCTTTCCCTCTGTTGTGACTTGGGTTGGAAGTGTGGTCGGATGCGCGCCCTTTCCGGCCGAGTTTCTGCTGTCTGGTTTGATACCATCTTCCTGGACTCTTAGAAGCTTGGAACCCTTGCCTGCTCTCGTGGGGCATCACCCCAAGCTGTGGAATTTGCAGAGTGGGCAGGGAGCCATGCTTGTTTGTGTCTGTGCTCAGAATGGACGCCCAGCAAGCAGCTAGTTTGCATTTTGTTCTGTGTTGAGCCCCAGCTACTGGGTGGGGGTGGAGAGGGGGAGAGGAGAAGAGGGGAGGCCTGGAGAGCTGTTATCCGAGCACATTAGCTTATAAACAAAGCCCTCTCTGTTGTGTGTGCAGGAGCCAGTTGGTGGAAGGGGCTGCACTGGTAAGGGAGGGTGGCCCTGTTTGGGTTTCTGATGGACACGTCCTGTCCTGGAATTGGATTGGAGTGAGGATAGGAGAAGATACGTATCAGTTGCATTGTGTGCAATTGTGTGTTTTATACAGTGCTGTGAGCACACCTAAAATTAAACTAGAAATCCTTAATCCTGTCAGATTGTGTGCTCACTGCAACACTTAAAAGTTGTGCATCCAGATAACTCCCGGTGGAATTCTGAGTGAAAGAAAATAGAGGGACACATCGGTCAGCAGCTTTCAAAGACACTACCTGCTTTTCCAAAGTGCCTTCCAGAACCAGCCGTCTGTTCCTGCTGGCACGCCTGCCTGCCTGTCTGTGTCCATAGTTCAGGACCCAGGCTCACATGTGGGCAACAAGGAGAAGGGAGGAGGGGCTCCTGGCTCCCAGTCCAGGATTCTGCACACATGCAGAGCGATATCCCTGCACACCGCCTTCGTGTCTGCACTGGGCCACGTGTACATGGCACCAGCTCTCGTGGTGGTGGCCTTCCAGGCCGAGACGATGGCGGCCGGCCCTTGGGGCCTGCTGCAGGGAGCCTCGCTGGGTGCCCTACTGTGCCTGGGATCCTGAGCTCACAGGCTTGGCTTCTGTGCCCTCAAGTCCTTGCCATCACAGCTTCTGCTCAGAGAGGCCTGAGCCAGGAAGTTAGGGTCTCTGGACGGCCTCAGGGAAGGATGATTTCTCTATCTGTCAGCTCCTATCCAGCATCATGGGATGCTGGCTTGAAATTCTAATGCTCTGAGTTGGTACCAATCACTGGTCCATGCATGGCACGTGTGTTGTTAAGTGCCATTGAGTTGCTTGCGACTCCTAGTGATCCTATGTACAAGAGCCCTAAACGCCGTTCTTTCCTGTGCCAACCTCACCATCTCAAACGCACTCATTCCCACCACTCCATTCACAGAATCGATCCATCTCATCGAGGGTCTTCCTCTCCTGCGCTGCCCCTCCACTCTGCCAAACATGATGTCCCTCTCCAAAGACCAGTCCCTCCTTGCAACATACCCAAAGTATGTCAGATGAAGCTTCAGAATCCTTGCCTCCAAGGAGCAGCCTGGCTTCACCCTCTCCAGGACAAACTT